TTCCAGCGCATCGCCACCTCCTGCGAGTGAGGGACAGCCCCCGCGCGGGCAGGGGATGGGCACGGGGGTGGGCACCTGCGCAGAGGTGGGCAGGGAGGTGGGCACCGGGAAGGACCCAGGGACAAGCGCGGGGACAGACACGGAGGACAGGGATGGGCACCGTCTCTAGGATGGACATGGGGATGGGCACCGGGAAGGACCTGGGTACAACCTTAAGGACAAACATGGGGAATAGGGATGGGGATGGGCACCATTCCTGGGATGGACATGGGAATGTGCACCAGGAAGGACCTGAGGACAACCCTGGGGACAAGCAGAGGGGGCCAACACAGGAACAAGCATAGGCATGGTGGGCACCACGTCCCACAGCCCATCATGGTGGCACACGGTGGGGCTCCAGGACCACCCACCCACCCCGGCACCCATCAGAACCTCTCTCCCCACAGCGCCTTCCCGGCAGAGCTGGGCGAGGTCTTCGCAGCCTGGCAGGAGGAGTGTGCGGCGCGGGGCAAGGCGCCCATCGGGCAGCGCCTGGTCTCGGCCTCCCTCTTCCTGCGGTTCCTCTGTCCCGCCGTCATGTCCCCCAGCCTCTTCGGCCTCGTCCAGGAGTACCCCACCGAGGCCACCGCCCGTACCCTCACCCTCGTGGCCAAGGTCATCCAGAACTTGGCCAACTTCACCACGTACGTCATGGCAGGGCGTGGTACTGGTGGGAAGCCATGGGGCAGGAGGGGACATCCTCTACACGTTGTGTGGCACGTGCCATGGACAGCCATGGGGCAGTAGGGTTGTCTCCAACGTATAATGGGGCAGTAGGGTTGTCCCCAACGTACCATGGGGCAGTACGGTTGTCTCCAACGTATAAAGGGGCAGTAGGGTTGTCCCCAACATACCACGGAGCAGCAAGGATGTCCCCTACATGCCCTGGTGCAGCAGGGATGTCTCCTACATGTCATGAACCAGCCATGGGGCAGCAGGAAACATCTCCAGTCCATGCGTGGGGTTGATGTGTCCCAGCAGCAGAGCCTCGTGTGTCTCCTGTGGTGGCCTGACCTGTGGGTGGCTTGGTCCGAGAACAGGGAGGTGTCCTCATCCATGTCCTGGCTTGTAGATGGGGTGGTGGCATGCTGCAGGGACATTGCAATGACTTGGTCCGTGATCCTGGAGGTGGCCTGGCCCATGACCATGGTGGTGGCCCACGACCATGGCGGTGGCTCATTACCATGGTGGTGGCCCAGGACATCACCTGGTCTCCATGTAACTGGTCATGGTGGTCCCCAGGTTTGGTGAGAAGGAGGCCTACATGGGCTTCATGAATGAGTTCTTGGAGCACAACTGGAGCACCATGACGGACTTCCTGCAGAGCGTGGCCAACCCCGAGAGCAGCATCCACATGACCACCTACGACGGCTATGTGGACCTGGCTCTGGAGCTCGCCACTCTACACCTCCTGCTCTGCGACATCTTCTCCAGCCTGGACCAGGTGCCACCATCCATTCATCCCCAAGGGCAGCTGGGAAGACTGGCCACCTCCTTCTCCCCACACGCAGAGCTGGTCTCCACTGCCCCATGGATGGCACCTACTCCAAGGCCACCCGTTGTTCCCATAACGTCCTTGTCTTGTCCTGGCAGGCCACCCAGCAGGAGCTGGAGCCCCTGCCCACCATCCTCACCGCCATCAGGGAGGGGACCCCTGTCCCCGTCTCCGTCCGGCTCAGCTCCACCACGGAGCGAAGGTACCAGTGGGTGGACAGGGACGCACATGGGACCAAAGTGGATGTGTGGGGCCAGGGTAGAAGGGTGACGCTTTGGATGGGTTTGGGGTGGTTCTGGTCCTGGTTGGGTTCAGGGGATGGTTCTGGTCTTTGTTGGGTCTAGGGAGATCCTGGTCCAGAATGGGCTCGGAGTCACTGGTCGCAGTTGCATTCAGGGGATGGTTTTTCAGCAGATGGTTGTGGTCCAGGCAGGGAATGGATCTGGTCCCAGTTCATGGGATGGGCTGGGTTTGGTGGACACTTCGGGTCCAGGCTGGGTCCAGGAGATGTTTCAGGTCCCAGATAGGTCACAGAGGTGGTTCTGGTCCTGGTTGGGTTTGGGGTGGCTCAGGTCAAGACTGGTTTTGAAGATGGTTCTGGTCCCAGTTGGATTTGGGGGATGTTTCTGGTCCCAGTTGGGTTTGGGGGATGTTTCTGGTCCCAGTTGGGTTTGGGGTGGTTGAGGTCAAGACTGGTTTTGAAGATGGTTCTGGTCCCAGTTGGGTTTGGGGGACATTTCTGGTCCCAGTTGGGTTTGGGAGACGTTTCTGGTCCCAGTTGGGTTTGGGGGATGTTTCTGGTCCCAGTTGGACTTGGGGGACGTTTCTGGTGCCAACCAGGTTTGAGATGCTTCAGGTCCAGGCTGGGTTCAGGAGATGGGTCCGATCCCAACCAGGTTTGGGGTGCCTCTGGTCCTGGTAGAGTTCAGGGTGGTTCTGGTCCCTCCTGGTTCCGGTAACACCCCGGTACGTGG